TCAGGTAGTTGTTATAGCCTGTTTTTCATATAGTATTTTTGAGAGTATTTGTTTTGAAGAGGCTTCTCTGTCAGCCCACCTTGAGAGTGTTTAGTCCAACAATTTTAGCTTGTTCTTTTAGTTTTTTAGCAGCTACTGTTGGATTTAATTGGTTTTCTTCTAGGGTTGGTAGTACATTATACTGATGTAAGTATTCTGGCCATGAAAGTGATTGATTTTTTCTTCGTCCACGGGTTTGCAACATAGGATCTATTGTTGTTTCAAGCTATCTGTCAAGGCCGATTAATGTAGTTTCAAAAGCCATTTTGACTTAGATGAGGCCTCGTCCGCCGACATCATGATGTAGGTATACTTTATCAGCATCTTATTTGGGGTAATGCATACTGTGTTTAGATAGTACGTTCTGCATCTTCGATCAAGTCTCATCATGTCGGTTTTACTCCAGTTTATGATTCCAAAGCTATAACTAACGACAGGAATTGCATTGCTGTTTATTGCAGACACCTTGTTAGAAGAATTGAGTTCAGATTCAAGCACTAGTCATTCTCTCATAATATGAATTCTTTATAGATTTTTCTTCTTCATCGCCGACCTTCTGATACCATCAAATTCGTTGACATCTAGATATTTGTAAAACTCATCTTGTTCCAGTTTTTTGTGTTAGCTCATTGATTGATATTGCTCGTTCCCACGCTTAAAAGTGGCGGCTTTTGCACATTTATTAAGACCAAACTGCATGCCTATGTTATAACTCAATTGTTACACTATGGTTAGTAGGTCTGGCAAAAAGTTTATTATCATCCATATATATTAGATGGGTGGTGATTTGTTAAAATATCTGATATTCACGGCCTGACTCCTTCAGAATTTTTGATAACGGAAACAGGGCAATGCAGAATAGGAGTGGTAAGAATGAGTCTCCTTGGAAAATTCCTTTGTTGATGTGGATATATTGGAGCAATACTATTGATACCCATTGATTTACTTATCCAATCACGTGGAACACTGTCGAAGGCCTTTCTATTATCTGTCCAAGCAACATTTATATTTCTGCATTTTGATTTACAATGGTTTGATCATTTTGTTAATAAGTATTTGGTCCCAGATGGAAACGTACTGTTATTTTTAAGAAACGTGTACGTATATTCCGCCGGTCCAACCTAAAAGTAGAACTCAAGGTCCCAACATAGCAAAGTAAAACTAAATGATAGTAGTAGTAGTAGTAGTAGTAGTAATAATAATAATAATAACAACAACAACAACAACAACAACAACAACAACAACAACAACAACAACAACAACAACAACAACAACAAAAACAACAATAATAATAATAACATAATAGTATAATATAAATCACCACAACATTACATAATTGAAAATGATAAATACATCCGCATAAAAAGTACCTAAGCATATAGGACGGGTGCTTCCATTATAGTGCCCATCTTGACAACTCAGTATCTGGTTACCAACGAGCTCATACCCGGCTTTACAGGAGAATAAAACAGTCTGGTTATGGTTGATTTGACGAGTGGGCTCAACATCGCCATTTGATGGTGGTGATACATCTTTGCAATCCTCTGTAAAAGTGAGATTTGTTGTGAATTAAGCCCCTGTTATTACTGCAATTCCAATTGCATGGCATCTCATTCCTAAATTACACATTTACTCCCAGACGTCACTAGGCCTATTCCTAAAACATATGTTTAACTACCGTGGCCTACTAGTTACTGTGTAAGCCAACATTTACTCCAAACTGTCAGGGACGTGACCCGTTGTTAGGACTGACTGCCTCACACAGCGTCCTGACCCTAGGTTTGTAAACCAGTGGCCTTGGATTTTCCTGTTCAGGCTTAATGTGTATTTGTAATAATGTGCATAATTTTAATACTATGGTAATGATAATGTTCCAAAATACAACAGTTATTCATATCCATGTATAATTATTGTATTCGCAAAAAAAAAAAAAAAAAAATATATATATAAACATATTCCCTGTGGTAAAATCCCAAATTATTCTCCAAAAATTAAAATAATAAATTGTTAATTCAACAGGAAAATTTGTTGTGAATTAAGCCCCTATTATTACTGCAATTCCAATTGCATGGCATCTCATTCCTAAATTAATCTAGGATAATATCAATTTTCTTGTAAGATGGTTTTATATTATCGAGATGAATAAATGAGACTAAACTTACGATAGCATTTTGGTGGATCATTTATCCATTTTGACTCATTACATGTATTCGTCGCGTCGCCGAATAGTGTGTAGCCCGGGTAACATGTGTATGTTACGTTTTCTCCTGATTTGTATCTATATTTAAACGGGTCGAAGTAACTGTTCTCAGAATCCGGAATTCCGCATACAGCTATTGTAGGTAAATCAAATGATCATTAATATTATTTCTTGAACAATTTAAAAAGATATTCAAAATGATAAGACCATCTGCTCCGAAATCAACGAAACTAATGCCGGGTCCAGCGGAGGGGAAGGACCCGCCGAGCGCGAAGCCGACGGACCCTCCAGCGGCGGTGGAGAGTCATCCGGCACCGCTACAACCCCCGACGCAGCTTGCAACAAACTCTGAGATGGAGCGTCAGCCTGAGCTGCCCAATCTAGAGCCGACCGCAAACTTAGTCGGGGGCCAGCGCGCACAAACCTTACAAGGCTCAGCCTTGCTGCACGGGCAACACCAGAGGCACTCCAAGTGCCGGTCGAGCTTAACACCCGGTTAGGGGCCCCCACACGCCGAGCACAAAGTCTTGCGAGTGGACATGGATACCGATTGAGACTATCATTCAAATATCTTGGAGTTGTGTTTGATTCTAAATTGACTTGGTCTGAACATATTGAAAAATTAACTGGTAACATCTCTAAACGCATTGGTGTTATCCGCCGTGTTAAATATTTTTTACCCCAAAATACTCTTAAGATGTTGGCTAA